GACCCTTATGTTGGGAACAGAAAAATCACTCCTTTTCTCATTGGCCTAACTGCACTAAATGCTTGAGATGGACTTCTCCTGAACAGTGTATGCACACCATAACTCTACAGGCTGGAGACTTATTTTCAACGAACTGATCTGATATTCCTGAGATTAGATGGAAAGCTCCCAATGGCACTTATTGGTCATGTGGGACCAATTTGTGGCCTTGGCTACCCCCTGGATGGATAGGGAGATACACATTAGGGTTTGCCTGGTTACAAAGCAGGAGCATCAAAAATATTGACAAACCTGCAAATTTATACCACCTACAACATCGATGGTCCAGAAGCATGTTTCACTGGTATGATCACTTGGCCTCTATCTTCTCCCTTCTCTCGGGTTAGATGTCATACAAGACATTGAGGCCTTAACTAACTATGCTCAACGGGCCTTAAATGATACTGCAACTGGTCTCTCTCTTTTAAATGAAGAAGTAAAGTTAATGAGACAGGCTGTCCTGCAAAATCGGATGGCATTAGACATTCTAACAGCAGCAGGGGGGGTGGTACTTGTGCAATTATAAAAGCTGAATGTTGTGTGTACATTCCTAATCCTTGCACAAATATCTCAGTAGCTGTTCAAGATATTAGACAGCAAATCAATGATACGTCAGACTCTGAAACCCTCTGGATCTTGTCTTTATCATCCTTATGGGAAGGCATTATTAGCTCCCCCTGGTGGAAATCTTTGCTGACTATATTCATAGTCATCCTGTTGATGTTATTACTTGGCCCATGCATACTTAACTGTTTCTTTGGCTTTGTCTCCTCCAGACTCAAAGCTATACATCTACCCAAGAGGAAAATGCCTGTTCTCTATCGAGGGCCTTTAGATGGAACCTATGAAGAATATATCTGACTGACGATCAACAACTATGACCCCATTCAGCATAAAGAAGCCAGATCAGTCATCGCCCACGATCCCTTCATGGCAGTTCAGGTTATTTCTTCAGAGGGAGGAATGTTGCAAGCAGTGGAGTTAGATAGAAATATTATAGGCAGTTAGATAGGGTCAGGCCCTCAAGGAGACAGGATGGAAGACAAGGTGACATCGCAACTTTTAAAAGAGACAGCCAGGGAGATGGCTCAGTGGAATAAGCGCTTCCCTGGCAAGCGCAAGGGCCTGAGTTCAATCCCCGGTTTCACAAAAAAAAAAAAAAAAAAAAAAAAAAAAATTTCCTAAAAAAAAAAAAGGGGGGGGGCTGGTGAGATGGCTCAGTGGTCTAAAGCACCTACTTAGAACAAGCTTAGCAAAGCACAGGAACCGCGGTTCAATCCCCCAGCACCACATGCCAGCCAGCCCGCCCCCTGGTGGGCTGAGCTGGACACACACACACACACACACACACATAAATAAATAAAAATTAAAAAATAAAAAAGAGACGCTCCCGTGTGGGCCACATCTCAAGACCAAGACAAAAAAAGAGGAAACACAGCTACATACTTCCCTAGGGATGGGCATCAGGGATTGATATTTTAAACAGGTATCAATCAACTTAAAAGAGCCCTATTGAGTCACTAGCCCAACCCCAACAGGAAGAGATCCTGTCCCACATTCCTGCCCATTTGCTTTGTGACTCGCTTACCCATTTGGTACCGGATTTATTAAATTTTTACCTGAGAATGGTGCTTGTGATCCCATTGGTTGATGATAGATTTGTCCCACCTCTCATCCATCTAAGTGAGTCCCCATTTTCTCTATCTTGGCCCAACGTGATTTTGCCCTATAAAAATAACCTGGAACAGACAGCTTCCTGGGCAACCCGCTCAAGCCCCACTTCTGTCCTCTCTGAGACAGAAGCTTTCTTTCCCAATCAATATTCTACTCTCAAAAAAAAAAAAACATTCCTGGAATTAATAACCAAATTTAGTAGTGTAGCAAGGTATAAAATCAGCACTCAATAAATGAATAGTATTCCTTTATACTAATAACAAACTTACCAAAAAAATTATGGAAATAATACCTTTCATGATATCAAGAAAAGTTAAATATTTATTTATTTATTTATTATCTTTTTGAGATAGGGTTTCATTATGCAGTTTAGTCTGGCCTTGAACTTACAGTGATCTTCCTGCCTCAGCTTCCTGAGTTCTGCCACCACTTCTGGCTAACAAAACAAATGATTTAGAAATTACCTAACCAAGGAAGTGAAAATTATAGTACTATGAAAAAGGAAATCTAGGAAGATATCAGAAAATAAAGAGGTATTCTCTGTTCCTGAATAGGCAGAGCCAATATTGTCAAAATAGCCATACTTCTAAAACTAACATACAGATTCAATATAATCCCAATCAAAATATCAATAGCGTTCTTTAGGTAACTAGAGAAAACAACCCTAAAATTCACGTGGAACTAGAAGAGAGCCAGAATAGCAAAATTAATCCTGGACAACAAAAGCAAGGCTGGAGGCATTGCTATTCTGAACTTCAAGTTGTATTTCAAAGCTTCAGTGAAAAAAACAATAGTATGGCATTGGCAAAAAAAGACACATTGATTACTAGAACAGAATAAAAAATACAGAAACAACTTTATGAGCATTTGTCTGTCTGATATCCAGAAATGTATGCTAGGAGAAAGGTAACTTCTGTAACATATGGTGCTGGAATAACTGGTTATCTGCATGCAGAAGAATGAATCTAGATCTATAGCAATTAACATGTAGTCTAGAAGCAAAATGGATCAAAGATCTAAATGTTAAAACACAAGTACTTGATCTGCTGGAAGATTAAACAGGTAAACTTTTGAAGCCATAGGCTTAGGCAGAGACTTTCTGAACAGAAGAATCCTAGTTGTACAAGAAAAAAAAATACCAAGAATCAAAAATAGAACCTAATAATAATAATAATAATAATAATAATAATAAATCAATACAAAAAAAGAACCGTATCAAATTAAAACTTTCTGCATAGCGAAGGAGAAAATCAATGAAATGAACAAACAACCTACAGAATGGAAAAATATTTTTCTAGCTATTCCTCAGATAGTGGATTAATATCCATTATTATATATCTAGAATATATAAAGAACTCAAAACAATAGATCCTTCCTCCAAATAACACACCCAATGTAGGAGACAGCGGCCCTTGGTTAATTTCATCCAAAGCTAAAGAAGCCCTAGTTTAGTATCCAATTCATCTTAGAAATAGGTGAGACTGAGACAGAATCAACTCACTTGACCCCTGCCTGCTATGTTTTAGTGGTAGGGGGACACTGGGGTTAGATCCTTCACTCCTTCCCCTGCCTTGTTAAAACTTTACAAACATGAAACAGGTAAGGAAAGAAGCAGGATCAATTAAAGGAAGTCAAGTCTAACTGTATGCCCATATGTAGCCATAAATCTCGATGCCCAAGCCATGACCTTGCTTCAGTGATGGTCTTCCAAACACACCAGTGGACACAGCATTCTACTGCAGTCACCATGTCACCAGGGAACCTATGTAAGCAAAAGTGGAACAAAGAAATGTGTCATGTGCACTCCCAATTTAGTAAGGGTGTGAGCACGTAGTTGGCAGGTCATTAATAAAGGCTCTGTTATTCCTCTCATCCACTGTCCTGTGGACAGTAACTCCACCACTACACCAATAAAAGATGGGCATCTGACATGAGCATTAAGAACACATGGCCAATATATACATGAAAAAAAAATGTTCAACATCACTGGCCATTCAAGAAATGCAAATTAAAAGAGTGCTGAGATTCCATTTTACTCCAGAAAGAATAGGTATCATCAAGAAGCCCTCATATATTGTTGGCAGAAATGTAAACTAGTGAAATCACTATGGAAATCAGTGTCAAGATTCCTCAAAAGACTACAACTAGATATTCCACTTGTACTGGCTATTCCCTTTCTAAGTATCTTCCCAAGAATTAAGTGCATAATGACAATATTAGAGCAACACATGCATACCCACATTTAAAGCAGCACTATTCATACTAGCTCAGTCTTGCAAGAGGATCCTCTACCCATCAACAGATGGGTGGTTAAAGAAAATAATTATACACCCAGCCTCCCATTATTTAGCAATATAGTTAAACATTTTGTTTCAATGTTCTGAAGTCTCTTTTATGTCACTAAAATTTTATGCTTATTGAGATGTCTTTCAGAATTAGCTATTTTTCACAGATCTCTTTCTGGCCCTTTACAGAAAAGGTTTGCTGACTCCAGATCTAATTTTAGCAATTCTCCTTCTATGTACATGCCCTGGAGAAAAGCTTACAAGCGTTTATCAGGAGACAGAGAGATGAGTGTTTATAGTAAAACAGTTTGCAACCACAAAATCCTGGCAACAGCCCAAATGGTCACCAAGTGGGAGAACTGATACACTGGGACACGACACAGGGCCTGTTGTACAGCAGTGAAAATGAAGAGCAGGTCTGCGCTCGAGAGGACTTTAGACTCCATGGGCCAATCAGTCTTCATGGCCACACTGCAAAGCTGCCAAGGCCTTGCATAGATGAGTGGCTGTGCATGTGCTCCGGGAAGACTTCACTTGCAAATCGAAGCAGCTGGCTATTGTTTGGACCTCTGAACATGCGCCACTAAGTCCTAGCTGGAGAGAGGGCTCCATCAGGCACACAGATGTTACTGCACCCCCCTTCCCCTAGGGACACATGAGGATCGTCTTTCTTAGTCTACAGATTGGACTGAATTGCCATTTTCACAGACCTTCAGAAGAAGGGAAGGTGGGCTGGGGGACATGATGGTGGTGATGGATCCATCCCATAGTCTGTGACCTCTATAATCTTAGGGAACCAAAGGCAGAAAGGAGTTGAAACTGTGCCTTCAACATTGGCTCTTTTGGGCCGGGGGTACGAGGCTGCCCTTGCCTGGCATGTTAACATCACAGAAGCCACTGTGAGGTCACTGCTGGGCTGAGGAACAGAGAAACTCACGCAGAGGGCAGCAAGTTTTGGAGTTGTATGACCTTTATTATTTAAACTGTAATCGGCTCACTGGGGATACTTTCTTGAGCCCAGCTCTCTGTTGTTGCTGTTCTAGCTTCCCACCGGATTGCCTCCTATTTAAATGGATTTGGCTTCAAAGATGATGGTCTCCATTGTTTCAGATGTCATGGTCCCACAGATCTCCACCTCCTGGCCTCCCTGGCCTTTCTCCATCTTCGTCTCTATGTTGCGTCTTTCCACTGTCTTTGTCACAATGTCTACTTCTTGGTCACGTGATATGAGGGCTGTCTTTGAACTCGGCGAAGATATGAAGCTCCTCAAAAAGGAACTGATTTTACTGGATTTCTTTGTTAAAGAGCTCGAACTGGCTGTGGATCGTTTCTTCCCCACTTTGTGAGAGGCCCTGGGCTCCCTGTTGGAGGAGCTGTGGCTGCGACTTTTGTGAGGGGAGCCATGTCCTTTGCTTCTTCCTTTACTGGACCCTTTTCCTTTTCTTTCATCTCTCTTGTTCCTGTGGCTAGACACAGACTGGTGGGATGAGGATTTCCGGCTCTTGTCCCCACCTGACCTGTGCCGGTGGCTTTCACCCACCCTGCGATGGTGTGAGCTCTTCCTACTGGCATGTCTGTCCTTCTTTTCTCTTCTTTCCCGTCTTTCCTTCCTGGCTTCAGCACTGGCCTTGGGAACCTTCTGGCTACCATCCCGTTCACACATGTAGCCTTCGCTCTGCAGGGTGGAAACCAGGGGCGCCACCACTGACCCTTTAGCTTTTTCTTCTGCAGGCGCCTTGGTCGTCATGGCGCCTGCAAAAACCACACTCACACTGTTGTCCCGGGAAACACTGGTGGCCCCGGCCGTGGAAGTGCCCATGGAGGAAGTGCTTGCAGCACCTGCCAGCACTGCATTGATATTGTCTGAGGATACACTGGTGCCTGCCGCCATGGCCTTGCTGGCTCTGCCTTCGGCCGTCTCCTTGGTAGCTGCCCCTGCCAGGGCCATGGTGTCCTGGCCTGAGCCTGCAGGCTTCGCTGCTGCCACACTCATTGCACCACCTGTGGGGCCTGTCGCTGCCCCTGCCATGGCCAGACCCACTGTAGGGCTGGTCGATGTCCCCACAGCTGTGCCCCCACCCATTGTTCCTGCCGCTCCTCCTTTGGCCGATCCTGCAGCAGCAGCGGTGGCAAGTTGAATTCCCTCTCCCCCAGCAAAAGCAGAAGAAGAGGCTCCACGCACCTCATGAAACTTCAGCAGCCCAGAATCTTGATCCCCTTCTCCACAGATGTCTGAAGCCTATGCCAAAGGTAGGGGTAAAGGGAGCAGAAGAAACAGAGAAAACAAAGTCAGAAATGCCTGGTGCCGTCATCCTGGAGCTGAGTGCCAGGTGGCACCAAATGCCACATGAGCCCTGCCCCCAGGGCAGGCTGAGCCCACCACAAAAACGTCAGTTTCCCTTGAGCAATTCTAGTGCCAAAGATACCACAGATACAGCTCCCCGCCCTGTGATTTCTTCTACACACTTGGGCTCCAGTCTTTGCAGGACGGATGTCTACAAGTGGAATTGCTGGGTCAGGGCATACATTTCACATGCTGGTGGCTGCTGAAACAAATTGTGTGTTTGTGTACACACTTATGGGCTCAGCTGATTTACACAAAACTCAGTCCCTCATAGTCCCAGGGATATAGATCATGGTTTAGATGAAACAAGGACTTTCTAATTGTTCAAAATGTTCTACACTACAAAGTTGGTTCCAGAGACATGGAGAATAGATGGGTATCTATCAGAACTTGGGAGGAAGATCTAGGAAGGATGATTAAGAGCTACCAGGGCCCACTTGTGTGGGAGGATTAATGTAATGTTCTATGTCATAGTAGGATAACTCGGTTGTTAGATGTAAGCATTGCAATATTGCACCACACCATAGACATAGGTACAATTGCTATGCATCATTATATATATATATGTTCTATAATGAATGGGCTCAGGTATAAAATGTCCAAGAAGAGATTGGACCTTCTAGATATGGTTACACCATTGGGTGTGAACCAGAGTAGTTCATACCTAAGGTGTCAGATGTCTGGCCCATGGTGCATTTTGGAGAAGCACTTGAACTAGCATTGTTCACGTGGCCTTAGGCCTTCCAAGTGCAATGCATCTTCCAGCACAGAAAGCCCTGCAGGACCTGTGTTTTGAGATCCTTTCCCTAAGCACCCTGCCCCATTTTCTCTGGGTTCCACCTGCTTACTAGTAGGCTTTTGTCATCTGGAGTAGCTGCATCCCCAGTCCGAATAGTTGGGGTGCTGCTGCAGCTGTCAGGGGGCGGCCTCAGGAGATAGACAAGCTTCTCCCAGTAGCAGAAGAGATCCTCGCGCGCATCTGAGGAGGGGCACAGCTGCAGATAGAAAGTCCGGCCTGTGGCGAGCTTCAGGCGCAGCTGCTGTTTCTCACGATTGTGGATGGAGATCTTGACGAACTTCAAGGGAATTAGCCTGGTGAGCTCAAGAGTCCTCTTGGGCTTCTGGTTTCTCTTCTTGGTAAGCAGGCCATGTTTGGTGCGCTGTTCGCAGACTTTGGCTGGCCGGGCCAGCAGCATGACATCGGGGAGTGGGAGAACGGGGCTGGTGGACACGATGCACACGGTCACCATGCGGACGCGATTGTGCACATCCATCACCTCTCCTTTCTTGCTGATCTGGATAAAGTCACTCTCAAACATGGGTGCGTACTTGAAGATTTCATACTCGCCTCCCTTGTACAGCTGCCGCTGCAGGTCCCCCATGGAGGTGTTGAACACACCCATCGAGCGGTAGTTGCGCGCCGTGTAGTAGGGCAGCACACATTCACTGCTCAGGGTCCTCTTCACTCTGGACATCCTGTCCAGCTTCAGATTGGGCTCCCAAGAGAGAGAGGGAGTGATGGCAGCATACCATCTTCCCACAAGGCTTCTGCCTCCCTCTCTTCACATCACTGCACTTTCCTCTCTGTCCTTTGTGACCTGTCACCAACACATGCCCCTTTGTCCTGTCCTCCAAGTAGGCTCCCTGGGAGCCTTCAGCATCCTTTTAAAACAAAAATAAAACAAAGACCCAAGCTACCACCTCACTGGGAAATAGGCTGGTCCTGCCGTGGTCTTCTTTTTAATTGCAGAAGGCAGGGACTACTCTTTTTAATGAAAATATTGGAATGCTGAATTTATGAAACAATTATTTTGGTAAACATCCAGGATGTACCCATCCAGTTTTATTGTTGATCTAAATGCCCCTCCACGGACCATCTTGCTGCAAAAGGATTTTTGCTACAGATGAATTACTTCCTGGAGATAAAATCCTAGAGGTGGACACCAACTTGCCAAGGGCAGGGAGTCTTACCATGGCCTCAGGATACAGGTCGCGCCCTTCAGACAGGCATTGGGTAGGTGCTAGATGAAAGGTCCTGGTGGAGCAGAGCAGCTGCTGCTGCCTGCCACCACTCAGCTGGTTGTCACAGCAGCTTCTAGGGCATAGAACATTTTCTCTGCATTTTCAATTTGCAGGAAGCTAAATTTTCATAAGTGAATTTATGGAGGGGCAAACGGGCTCAGGACTGTCTTGCTCACAGTCCTGTGCCAAGCTGGATTCTCAGGTAGGTCTTCCCACTCAGGTCAGAGTTTTTTCTCTGCCTCAAGCAGCATGTCCCATTGTTACACTCTTGTTTCTGACAAGCAGGCAGATGTGGCAGTAAGCCAAGCGCGTGGGCCATTACCGGGAACCGCAGGGATTCACAGGGATCTTGAATCACTACAGGATTTCCCACTATGATGTATGTATCTTCTGCTTCACTTTTGATGTCTACTTGATAAACCATTGAATGTTTTGACATTTTCTTTCTTTGAAGAGCTCTTCAGAGAAATTGTGGCAAACACATCTTTTTGGATTTTTAAAAAATTTTGTACAAGGTGATGAATCCAAATTCCCCCTCCCCCAGTAAAAAAACTCCTTCTGAAATCAGTACACATCCTCCAGGCTCGCAGATTGCTGTGTAGAGGTCTTGAAATGTCAACCACAGAATATCCTTTATAGCTCCCTTGCCTGCCGCAGTTCCTGCATTACAACTTTTCAAACAATATGAACGTGTGCTAGTTGGGATTCAGCTTTCATCTATTAAATGAAATTTAATGAGCAAGTATATTGTTTGAAACCAATTAGAAAAGGAAAATGCAAAACTAAAGTTCTTTGTCTCTGAAGAGCTAAAATATTTGTTCAAAGCCATGGAGTTATTTCTTCAAAAAAGGACAAAATGGCTTATATTGATTGTATTCTGAAAGGATAATCACAAAGTCAATGACACATTCAGGTTTAAAAATAAGGTTTAGTTTTCTCTATATATAACATGTTATCAATTATTATATATCAATATTACATATAAGATATTAAAGCATATGTCCTCATAAATCCAATTTAATCACTAGAAATGAGAAAAAGCACAACCATATTACTGAGAACTTATTATAAGCCAAATATGATGGCAACCATTTCATTGTTTTTGTTTTTTGAGGCAGGGTCTCACCATGTAATGCAAGCTGACTTCAACTCACTTCAGTCACCCAGGCTGGCCTCAAATTCCTGCTTCAGCCTCTCAGTGTTAGGATTGCAGGCATGCGCCACCCCTCCCAGCATGCCAAGTATTTTAAATTTTTAAAAAGTTTTAATCTTGGGCCGGTCAAATAGCTCAGTGGATTAAAGCACCTGCAAGCAGCTCAGGGGCCAGGGCTTCGATCCCTGGGCCTGCCGTGCCGGCCCGACGCCCTGGGGTGCACTGAGGTGGCAATTGAGACTGGGCATGGTCATGCACACTTATAATCCCAACTCTTGGGAGGCTCTAAACAGGTGGATCACTAGGAGTCCCATCTAGTAGTGAGACCCTGAACACCCTGTAGATCCTTCCCTAAAATAAAAAAAAAAAAATAATAAAGTTTTTATCTTTACAGCAGTCCTGTAAGATATAGGTATGAATATTAGCCTTGTCTTATAGAGGGGAAAGAGAAGTTAGGCAGTGTCACCAAATTCTGAGACCAAATGATATAAAAGTCCAAAAATACAGCAATGGATACATTATGCTAGGCTGGGTCACACTACTAGAACTCGCACATAAAAGTAGTAATACCTATGCATAAATCCATCCATGCCTTCAATTAATACTGTCTGGTGCAGACTTTGTGCTGAGAATCCAGCAGCAGATGAGACAAAATTCCTCGGCCTCTTATAGCTTGCACCCAGGCAATAACCAGGTAAATCATATGGTATGTCAATGCTGATATGGGCTACAGAGAGGAGTAGGCCTGTGGGTTGGGAGGGGATGGGGGTGGTCGTCAGGGATGCTTCAGTGAGAAACAACCTTTAGGCAAAGACATAAAGGATGGCAGGGAAAATCCCATACAGATGTCTATAGGAATAGCAGAATGTCATGCCCAGAGCCATAGCCTGCTCAGGGACAGAGCCTGCCTGCTGCATTTAAGGAACTCAAGAATGGAGTGACTGGGGGAAGAGTAGTTGAAGATGAGTTTGAAAGGCAAGTGCAGGGGTGACAGAGGAGCAACTCTCACTGGACAGACTGCACAGACCACTGGCAAGTCTTTGGCTTTGCTCTGAATGGGCAGTTATGATCCACACCCAAGATCCTCTTGGCCACCATACTGAAAAGCATATGTGGTGGTGCCAGGGCAGGGGTGGCACTGGTCAGCTCCTGTGACAGATAACCATAGGGAAGATGTATGGCAGTGGGGAAAGGGATGGAATGGTCCCCAGCCCAGGGACATGTTCAACCGAGGTATGGCTCAGCATACTGCTATTATAGGAACATTAAATAATTTTCATAAATATGAATGAGTTAAATAATTACAAGCCAGGTGTGGTGGCACACACCTATACTCCCAGCACTTAGATGGCTGAAGCATGAATTTGAGGCCAGCCTATGTTACATAGTGAATTCAGGGCTAACATAAACTACGTAGAGAGACCGTGTTTCAAAACAAACAAACATTACAAAATAATACAGATGATGTCATTCTTTTTTTCAAACATTGGAGATCGGACCCAGAGTCTCACATGTGTTGAGGCCATGCTTCAACAGTGTGCTGCAAACCCAGCCCATTATTGTATATTTTTGAGTAAAAAGTCCAAAGACTCTGCTATGGTGTGTGTGTGTGTGTGTGTGTGTGTGTGTGTGTGTAAGAATGCACAAGAAACTGGTAGCAAGAGCTACTCAGAGACACCTTGTTACCCACAGGGAGTAACAACATGAGACTTCATTTTCTGAGGGCATTTCCTTTCATATTTTTCAAATTGTGTTCACTACATATACTGCTTACATGAAAAGAAACAACCCTTGAAGTTTATGGGCTTGTAAAAATATTGTGCCGCTAAAACCGTGCTCGGAATATTTGATTTCCAGCCCGAGTGTGGAAGTCAGTAAGTAGCTTCATTCATTCATTCATTCATTCGTTCTTTATTTATTTATTGTATTTTGGGGAAGGGTCTACAGGGTGTTCAGAGTCTTACTGCTACATCGAACTGGTAGTGATTCTCCTGTTTACAGTCTCCCAAGTGCTGGGATTACAGTGTACGCCACCACATCCAGTCTCAATTGCTGTCTCAGCACACCCCGGGGGTGAGGCCAGCACGACAGGCCCAGGGATCGAACCCCCGGCCCCTGCACCTGCTTGCAGGCACTTTAATCCACTGAGCTATTTGGCAGGCCCTAGTAGCTTCATTTAAATTTAACTCTGGCAGAAAATTTCAGAATTTGAGAAAGTACAAAATAGCATGCAACTTTATTTGATTACATTCAAGACCTTGTAAAAATTCATTCTCCCTCCTAGCATTTAAAAATCAAACAGCTCTCCATCCAATCAGTCATATTTATGGGTTTTCCATTATGTTCCCATCAGGCTATGAGGATTCGTGTTTCAGAAATTTTAAGCCACGCCCCTCATACAAATACAGAATGAACATATGTCAGAGATGGAATTCATTCGTTTGTGGCAGAACCAACAGGATGGTCAGTCTGGACAATGAAAGCAGCAGGCGCTAGCCTTCAGGTGTAGACCCTTCAGCCTCCCGCTACAGACTCACACAGGACACTGTGCGGAGTTCCAGGCTTTCAGCTAGATCTTTGGGTCCTTGATGGGCAGACACACCCTTGCCTCTTTCACGCCCAGCTCTTTGGGTAGCCATTGTGAGCCAATTTTGTACATTCATAACTATTTGTATATCTTGTGCTATGTCCATGTCTCTAGCAAACAGTGACTGATAAAAAAGAAAAGAATGTTGGAATGATATTCCCAGGTTACATACCAACTGGTTAAATTCCAGTGCAACTAGATTATAACCTATGGAGTTACTTTTGTTACTGAACAGAAATTGCCTCTCTTCTGAATGAAGATTCACACATTAAGGAACTTTACAGTATTGAGACTTGTAATCAAGTATAGATTTTTGTGTTGAAAATATTCTAAAATTAAATTGCAATTCTGCCACTATCCTAAAAACCACTGAGCTGTCCTTAATGGGTGAACTTTATGGTATGTGAAATATATTTCATAAATGCCTTTAAAAATGATGGGCAGCAACACCATAGACTTGACTCACTGAACCAAAATCATTGTCTTCCTTGTTCTCATAGACAATTAATCTCCTTGGGCAGCCACCAGTATTAAAACTTTAATGTGGTGTGGGAAGTAGATTTGCCTGCTTTACGTGCTTGTTCTGTGTACAAGCTTTGTGCCCTTTTTCGTTGTTGTTGTTGTTGCAGTACTAGGGATTGAATCCAGGGCTTTTGCACTAAACTACCGCCCTAGTCCCATTTCTATATTTTATGTTTGAGTCTCATTCAGTTGCCAGGTTGCCCAGGCTGAGCTCTAGTTTGAGATATTCCTGCTGTAGCCTCCCAGTG